CCCCAAAACCCCAAAACCCCAAAACCCCAAGAGGCTGAAATATTATAAAATCTGAGAGTATAACAGATAAATTATCATAATTAATTTATCTCTATTATATCATTAAGAAAACAGTAAATTATTTTGAGATTAGTAAAATCAAAATGAAAGCAAATGAGGTACTTAAGCACATTTAAGCGAAAAAATCGCTAAATAAAGATGATCTTAAAATTATATTAAAACTGTCAGAGTAAGTCAGATCTAAAGAAGTATTATATTAAATTAACATATAGTAAGGACAAATAGTTTGTGATATCAAAGATCTCCACTACTAGATAGAAACTAATTCTGAAATACTTGGAGGAGCTACCTTTTCTAGAGGATTCTTTTAGTAAGTATTAAGCAAATAAATATATGGGATATAATATATGTTTTAGACTTTCCATTATCAAGAAGAGAATCTCATCATAATCACAACGTGGGAATTTCATCTACCCCTGATGATCCAGAAAAATTAGATAGCTAATAATTAAGTCAGAAACTTAATATGATATCTCCCTAGTTAAGGCCCTAAGTAGCAAAATAACCCTTAGCAAAAATGAGTTGGATGCAAAATGTCAAAAAGATTCATGATAATTTCACCTTTTCAAATGATCCTATTGAGAATAATAACAACAATAAATTAGGTTTAAAAAATACAGCTAATCCCTTGAACCAGGATAACCTCAACAATACAAACCATCATTAACTTTTTTAGGATGAGAGTGATTAAATTTTAGCTCTAATAAAAAGGATCATGTATTCTGAAGGAGACCTATTAAATCTCAAAGATGAGTGTGCTCAATTCCTTAAAGATGCCATATATGTCTTGTAAATAGCATTTATATAGCATTATCAGTTTTTATTAACTAATTTTTATAGATGCAAGCTATTTAAGACTGAGATAAAAGAAGAGGAACTTGAGGAAAAGCTAAAAGAAAAGATAAAAAAGAGAAACTAAAAAGTAATTAACAAGAAAGAGTTAAAAAATGAAAAATTCAAAAAGACTGAGAAAAGTCATGATGCACAAGCAAGTACTTCTAATCATGCAAATGGGAGCCATTCTCACTGCATGAATTTAATAGACATGCCTCTAACACAATATGTGTTTGCTGAAAATATTCAGAGATTCTATGCTCATAAATCCTTGAGCAAATTCTATGTATCCATATATTCAAAATTAATTCATTTTAGAGAGATATTGAAGAGTATCACGAGGAAGAAGATTTAGAAGATCTAGCTGAACAGGCTTAACTGGACGAGGAATAAGAAATAAAAGAATCAGATTTTTTGACAGATATAATGGGAGAGATGATAATACCTTTAGAAACACCGAAAAAGAATGATTCAATTGAGGAATCTAAACTTGGCAATACTAATAGTAAGCTAAATTTTCTACTTGAAAAACCACTTTAAACTCCTTAACTCCTACAACACAAATCGATGAGTGAGGTACTTAAAGAACTCAAAGAAGAAAACCCTGATGAAGATGAGGAAGATAAACCTGAAGATATGATATTTGGAGAAGAATTGCATTTATTAGATCATGTACCTTAATCTGCATAGAATCAAGATACTGGAGTGATGCATGCTCATTATACTATTTCAGAGTAAGATAAAAACTTAGCTGAAGAGCGTCGGAAGGAAAGACTAGAGTTCTAAAGTAATAGAATCACAACTATGGATCAAGATGAATATCTAGCATTTCATTAGTGCAGACTTGCAAACTTCCTAAGTCGAGGAAAACATTTGCTGTGTCACTGGCTTGATCTTAATGTCGACCTCTTTGATAAAAAGGATTTGGAGATATTCTCTTATGTGCTTAGAATTATCCTTGGTAGAATTGTTGAATAAGCAGTAAGAAACAGAAACTAGCAGGAATCACATTAGTTTGTATTGAAGCAAATCAAAACTTCAATTGAATTAGAAGAGTATCACCTGGCAGTAGATTAAGTTAAAGAATAAATGGTGAAAAGGATTAGGAATAGAGAGTTAGGCATTGAAGCATTCTAGGTCTTTGCATAAGAAAATCAAATAAAGGACTCTCCAGCTAAAGATAGAAAGAAAATTCTCTCTAACATAAAGCAGAAATGGGACTTACTTGCAAATTAGCCTTATTCCAACTTGCAACTCATCAATTAGACTACCTAGCATTATGGAGTTAGCAATAGCCAATGCTATCAACAGTAAGACTTTATAATGAGAGTGTAGGCTGAGGGAAATGTGATTGAATATCTGAAATCTGATAAGTCTAGGGAATACGAACCAATAAACTACTATGCTAAGTTCTTAAAGGACCAAATCACAAAGCAAACAAGTGAAAGTAAGAACTAAAACACATAGTTCAAGGTGAATAAGAAGTTCTTCAAAAACATGTATTACAAAGTTTGGAGTGAAATGAAGGATGAGGATAGATAAACTTACAGAGAGCGACATCATTAGTTGTAAATGCAATGAAATTGGAATAATAAATACTTACATTGAGTAAGAATAAAATTAGAGTTAAAAGTAATGATAATGCTTGCTTTAGAATTTAATGTTTAAATTATCTCTCTATACATGATATGCACATTATAGTCTTATGGGGTTTTGGGGTTTTGGGGTTTTGGGG